GGGGGGGGGGGGGGGGGGGAGTGAAGGCTGCTCCCACAAACAGCTCTGACCTATTAGGCGGTATTACCACCTTTAGCCCCAAGTCTCTGCCTCCTGATGAAGGCCACATCTTAAGAACTGTCAGGATCTTTTTAGCAGTAGAATAAAAGGGAAATGAAATGAAAAAAGGAAGTTTGTCAGCCAGCACCAATGCCCCCGAACCGGTCTCACCTCCCCGGGTCCAGCTCCCGGCCCGCAGAGCCGCCCATGTCTGTCAGGCTCGCAGCTGAAGCAGCCAGCTCTCCAGAAGGCCTCTTGCCGGCCCCATCCCCACCGCCAGAGCCACCGTTGCAGCTCTTCGTGCGAAAGAGGCGACTGAGGCGGATTTTGAGGGAGCCCTTCCGAGAAAGGCCGGCGAGTGGCCGGAGGGGCCCAGGAGGAGGCGGCGGCGGGGGAGGCTGCTGCAGCTGCTCCCCTCGACTCAAGCGCCCGGGAGGGACCAAGTCCTGCATCGGGAAGGGCACCGGGGGTAATTCAGAACCGGGGGGCTGCAGTAGAAGCCGGCCGCCCCCTCCTCCTCCTCCGCGGCCCGGGCTGCTGAGCTCCTCTTCCGAGCAGCTGTTAGTCTCCAGGCTCTCTGCCTCCGACTCCAAGCCCTCCAGGACCAGCAGCGCGTCGCTCGTTTCCGTGGGGTCCTCCCCGGCCTGCGGGGCGGCAGCAGGCGGCTGGGGCTGCGGAGGGAGCGGCTGCGGGGGACACGGGCACGGGCAGCAACCCCCACCGACCATCTTGACCCCCGGCCCCGCCGGCTGCCCGAGCCCCAGAGCGGCCAACTGCGCCTCCAGTCCAGCCGCCGGGCCCCAGGTCCGCTCTAGCGCCAACCCCGGCGGCAGGGCCTTGGGGTCCAGGGCACAGCGGTGCCGGGGACACAGCAGTTCCGAGGGTCCCGGCTCCTGGGCCGCCTCCGCGTCCTCCTCCTCCGGCGGCCGACCCACGTTGCGGAACACCATCAGCTGAGGCGGCCTGGAGCCCCGCGGGCCGGGCCGCGCGAGGAAGGGTGGCGGTGCGGGGCCATGGCCCGGGGGCGGCGGCGGCGGGCCTGGCTCGGGGGCCGCCTCTCCATAGCCGAGCAGGCGGCTCAGGACGCGGTACGAAGCGGCCGCCGCCGCCGCCTCGCCATCCCGGAGTTCGGCCCCCTGCATTGGGGAGAGGGAGGGCGGGCGGCTGGGAGCCGGGCTGGGGTGGGGTCTAGGCCAGGCCCCGCCGGAGCCCCGCCCGCCGCGGCCCCCGGAGCGACAGCGCTAACGGCCGCCGCGGCCTCTGCCTCATAGAGGGGGCGGGGGGTGCGCGGAGCCCAGCGCGAGCCCAGGCCGCGCGTCGCCGCCACCGAGCACCGCCCCCAGGTTGCGTCACTTCCGGGAGATGGTGGTCACGCCCCCTCCCCCAGGGCTTGCTCGCCCTGGCCTCTACCGAGAGTGACGTTGCGCGAGGCCTGGGCCGCTATTGGTCGTGAGCTGCTTGCTTCTCGCCTGGTCTTTAGTCCTCAACTCCGACCCCGGTTTTTCACTTCCCGGGCGCTCTGGGCGAAACCACCCCTTCGGTTGAGAGTAAGGTGGGATGGCCCTGGAAAGCCTGGTATCGTCCTGGGAGAGAGCTGCTGGCCTTGGGAGGACAATACCTCTGGCCCTGGTCCTGCCTATGCAGCTTGCGATGTGTGACCGTGGACGAGTCATTTGCTCATTGACTGTATCCCCGCCTTGGCATCCAGTGAATATTTATAGAGTGACACATGAGGAATATGTTCTAGAGCCAGGGCTGTGCTGATAAATGTTGAACGGCCGACTGTTGGGAGAAAAGGGGAATGTATGCATATGATATATATGTACATAAATTTATCAGAAATTGTACTGATATAGGCGGAGAAGGCAATGACACCCCACTCCAGTACTCTTGCCTGGAAAATCCCATGGACGGAGGAGCCTGGTGGGCTGCAATCCTTGGGGTCGCTAAGAGTCGGACACACCTAGCGACTTCACTTTCACTTTTCACTTTAATGCATTGGAGAGGAAAATGGCAACCCACTCCAGTGTTCTTGCCTGGAGAATCCCAGGGACGGGGAGCCTGGTGGGCTGCTGTCTATGGGGTCGCACAGAGTCCGACAAGACTGAAGCGACTTAGCAGCAGCAGCAGCAGTACTGATGTAAAGGATATGTAGCACGGAATTTACAAATAATAATGTACATTTGCAAATTCTTTATAACCACAGAATTTATTCTCACAGAATACTTTCATTGATTTTTGCCAAACTCCTATATGGGTAGCCAAACTGGTTTCTGTTGGGGGGGCGATGTAAATGTGACATGGTTACTGGTTGATGTCCTCTGTGTCAGTGTAAGAAAAAAATGAATAAACAAAGACGTCTTAACTGTCAATTATGGGAGCAACTTCCTTGCTGATCAGAAAACAGTTTTCAAATAACTGAAAGAATGTTTCCTCAAGCTTTGTCTATCCAGAATGTAATGGCTACAGACATAATATATTCATTTAAAATCAGAATTGTTATTCTCCATTACTTTCTTAAATCTAGATAAAGAATGAAACAATAAATCAAGTCCCTTTCTGTAGTGTTTGCCAATTCTATGGTGCAAAGATTCCCACCAAGGCTGGTTTCAATCTACCATCCTGACTTTATTGAATACAGAGAATACTCTCAGGTGGAAGTTTCATATTATGTAGCAGAAGCAGTAATACAAATAGCCTCAAGAGCATAGGTAAATAATAACAGTAAAATTATTGAGAAGTGATGAGTTTTTGGAATTTATTACCTTTGTTTTTAATACATTTAATTATAAGTTTGTTTGATTTAATTTTCAATAATTGGCTGTGTTTAACAACTGGCTTACAAAATTTCTGAAATTTTAACAGTGGTCTTTCACAAGCCAGTTCCACATCACCACTATACTTCAGTTTTCTCATCTGCAAAATCAGAATAAGGATTGCTCCTTTGCTTACCTGCAAGCATGCTGTGAAGATCAAATAAAACCAAGCCTGTGTAGAGGAGGTGTGACTGGGGGCAGGGAGACCAGCCCCACTGCAATCATCCCATGAAGAGATGCTGAGGGATGCAAAGGATACGGAGGAAGGATTGTCTAGCAGTATTTAGCAACTTTAGTACCTGAAGGTGCATTGAGGGGTAGATGTTCGAGCCATCTGCTATGAGTTTTACAGCCAGAGAGACCTTTTAAAACTGAATATTTGCCAGTAGCCTGTGATTATAACCCTCTGTGCTTTCCCATTGTTCTTAAGCTAAAGATAGAACTCCCTAAGGAGGCCTATGGGGTCCTGTGTGATCCGACCCCTGCTTCTCTGGCCTCATCTTCCACCAAGCTCCACCTTGTTCTCTCTGCCCTGCTGTTCCAGTAGCCCCCTGGGTCAGGCTCACACACTTTATGACCATCGCATAAGTGATTCCCTTTTCTTGAAAGGCCTGTTCCCTCCATTTTTTTGCTTCCTACTCATCCTTCCAGTTAGACTTACTCCTTTCTACCTCAGGGAAATCTCCTTGCCTGGGTAATTCCTCCTCCCTGAGTTCTAAGACTACTCTTTTGTTGCACTTAATTGCACAAGTGTGATTTGTCATCTGTCTGTGGCGTTATTTGATTAAAGTCTGTCTTCCCTACTAAACCATCAGCTCCGTGAAAGCAGGGTTCTAGTTTGCTTTTTTTCCATCATGGACTCTCCAGTGCCACGGACTGCCTGGCACAAAGTAGGCCCTTGATACATGGAATGATGGTTCTATGCTTATAAGAGACTCCTGATACAAATTCATCTCTGATTCTGCACAACAGAATTAATAACCTCCCTTGCCCAGGTCACACAGTCCAAAAAGATGCAGTGGAATTCAAAACCAGTTCTGATCCCAAAGAGTATATTTTCTACCCTCTCTCCCTCGGCTCCCTCTTAGGTGTCACTTAAGTTTCTGGAGAAAAGAAGAGAAATTGCTATAGGATCATAGCACACCAGAGGCCTAAGAAGACCACCCAAATAAGACCCTGGTTATTTCTGGAAAATTCTGGCTGGGGATCAGATTACCCCATCAATGCAAGGTCTTGAAGCTCTGCAGCACCCTCTGCTGCCCAGCTAATTTCTTGGCCCCAGAGGGAAGCCAGCTGTTTCTGCCCCCTGGGTTATCTCCACCAGCCCAGAACACCCAGAGGCCAAGGGGAATGTGCACAGGCTCTTTCTAACGCAGGGCAAGGAATGCTGCCTTTTTCCATTTCCCTTAATATCCAGGGACCTGTACCCCAGTTCCTGGAAAAAAATATTGAAAATTAAGCTCCAAGCAAAGGAAGTGTATTTTTGGGTGAGTTGGATTTGTGTGAGTGTGTGTTGGGTGGATTTTGTGTCCATAGATACCTTTTTCTTGAGGGCTATATAAGTTATCTCTGCAGTGGTAGAACCCTAGTTTTAAAGGTTTGCAAAGAACAACACAGAGAATCTAAACCAGTTTTGAGTTCACGCACTCATTCAGCAACGGCTTCGAGTACAGTGATGAGTAAGACAGGCACGGTCTCTGCCCCTCTGGAGCTTGCCATCTAGTTTGAGTCCTAGTCCTGCCACTTCCTCAACATATTACCAAGAGCAAATAATTAAACACCTTTGAACCTGTGCTTCATTTGTAGAAATAGGTCAATCCCCCTTTGATGGGGCTGTCGTAGGGATTAAATGAAAACTTACACGCAATTGCTACGTGCGTGTGTGCTAAGTCACCTACCTCAGTTGTGTCAGACTCTTTGCAACCCTGTGGACTAGCGCCCACCACGTAGGTCGGTTCTTTACCACTGGCGCCACCTGGGAAACATATGCTTCAGTGCTATACAGACATTAGTTGTTATGAAAAACTCCTTGGAGGAAAAAACAACTATTATGTCTTCACCAAAAGTGTCCTGTTGGCTCTTGGCTAAGAGTAACCAGTAATACCAAGAACATGGAATGGGGCACTTGCTCACCATGCCCGCCCCCTGCCATCCCTCTCTCTCTTAGCACATGGAAGCAGAGAGGCAAAGGAGGGAAGTATGGATGTGTGATACAGTCTGACCCCAGTGACCACTTGCTGTAGGCACCTTTAGTTCTGACATTAAAGGGATTTTGTGGGGGGTTGTCCCCTAGCCTCCATCTCTTCCCCCACCCTTTACATTCCCAATGAAGGTTCCAAAGCAGAATTGATGTTTGTAGAGGCCACGTGTAAAGCAAGGGAAGTTTTTAGCAACCACCACCCAACCCTTCCTACCTATACTCAGGGATCTGGGGCATCAAAGGCTTAAGAAGGGAGGTGGGCAGAGTGAGAAGGAAAGAAACTAGCAGCGCATCCACAGCAGCCAAATCACTGGGTGACTTGTGATAGGAAGGTGGTGGGAGAGGGACAGAGAGGAAGGCTGAGGCTTTGTTTTGTGGCTGACTTCAAGAATCCACACTCTTCTGGATCCAACATCAACCCCCTACCATCACCCTGTTATTCATCCTTAGAGACCTCAAGAAAGCCTCTCTATAAAGGAGGAAAGCAAGGACCAGAGCTGAAGCGTCTTCCCTAGGATCACGCTGTTGCTTGTGATGGAGCAGGGGTCTACTACCCCACCCAGGGGGGCCTTCCTTTTCCTGCACCACAGTGGTTAAGATTCTGTATTTCCACTTCAGGGAAACAGGTTTGATCCCTGGTCCAGGAACTAAGATCCTGCATGCCAAGCAGTGTGGCCAAAATGAAACAAAACAACAAACAACAAACGCCTGGAGGTGGGGGAGTCCTGCTGGGGATGGAGTGGGGTAAGAGAGTAAACAGTTTTGTCTCTGCTTCTTTCACCCTCATTTTGTCATCCTCAGCCCTGTCTTCCTTCTGTCTTCATGAAGACCATGGCTAACCTCTCCTTGACTGGCTTTTCCCAGTCTTCTTACCCACCACATCCTTCTCCCTGTTGGATACAGTAACTGGAAAGCCCAGAGTTGGCACCGTCTGAGGCAGCCTCCTTGGATCCAGAAGGGTGACCTTCCCTTTGCTGATCCGTCACCCAGTGATTTGGCTCCTGTACATGGCTGTCTGTTAGTTTCTTTCCTTCCCAGTCTGCCCCACCCCCTTCTTAAGTCTTTGATGTCCCAGATCCCCGAGTATAGGTAGGAAGGGTTGGGTGATGGTTGCTAAAAACTTCCCTTGCTTTACACGTGGTCTCTACAAACAACATCTGCAAACCAGGAAGAAAGCTCTCAGGAGGGATTCAAATTGGTCAGCACCTTGATCTTGGACTCTGTAGCCTCCAGAACTGTGAGAAATATACTCTTATTGTTTAAGCCACCCAGTCTATGGTATTTTGCTGTGGCAGCCCAAGCTAATACACTGATGGTGTAATTCAAGGCTGAGTCTGAGCTCCTGAGAACCATGAAAGCCAGTGGTATAGTTCTTGTCCGAAGGGCAGCAGGCTCAGTACTCAGGAAAAGTTGATGTTTCACTGCAGGTCTGAAGACAAGGGAAAAACCAGTGTCCCAGCTGGGACATTGTAGAGGAGTCAGAGCTCTGGGTTTGAGTCTCAACTCAAATGCAGCAGCTAAGTGAATCTCTGAGCCTTACTGTTTGTGAAATTGGGATAAGAACATTCAGCACAGGTGGGTGTGAGGAAGATTCACTGAGATAACACACATGAAAAAGACTTTGTACACTGCCACAGTCTGTACACACACCGATTATGGCTCTATTGAGCTCTCTTGCCCACCCTTCGCTATCCCTAGTCTCAGATTCCAGTTTAGCAGCGTGGTGTCGGTGGGGGGGGTGGGGAGCCACAGGCAGCTAGAGCAGATTGTGGGGAGCTGCAGCTTGGCCCTTTATCATGGCCGTCGAAATTGCTGCCAGGAGGCTAAGTGGAGCAGAGGAGTGGAGAGAGGGGCACAGGCTCATCTGCGGTTGCTATGGCGCCCCATCCTGGATTTGCCCATCTCTCCTAATGGAGCAAAGGGCAGAGGGAGGGAGGGAGAGAGGAAGAGAGAAACTGCTGGTCCCTTCATCCCCCCTCCCTTCTGTCTCTCTCTGGAGCAGATGTAGGGTGGGGAATAGGGGGAGGGAGCCTGGATATTGGATAAGAGTGGGAGGGAAGAGTGGTGTGCCAGGATTAAGAGGGTTTGCAGTGAGGGGCCACATTGAGAGAGGAGGGAGCAGAGCCCTCATGCTGACGTCCAGAAGCCAGATGATGATGTTAGAAGAAAAAAAAAAAAAACCAAGCGAGGCAGCGTAAGCATGAGAGAGAGAAAGGAAGAGAGGAAACGAGGATACGAGGTGTGGAAGCACTGCAGCCACCAAATCCCGCAGGCAGCCTGGCCCCCAGGGCCCTGCAGGCTGCCCTGAGGATGGACACCAGGACAGTGGCCATGCCTTCTCCGGCGGCAGGGCTGCTAGGCTGCTGTTTCCTCTTTGGCTGGGCTCTGGGGGTACCGAGGACCCTCCACTCTCTGCCCGCACTGTCCTCCAAAGTCAAGCCAGGGTCTGTACCCATTTGGGTGCCCCCAGAGGGGGCTGAGGCAGCCCTGGCTTTTCTCTACTCTGGAGATGCTCAACAGCTGTCTGGGGCAAACTGCACTGAACGCTATGAAGCCCCTGGGGCAGGAGCCAGACCAGGACTCCCCCCAGTCCTATGGAGGGCAGCAGGCACTGTAACCCAGGCCGCCAATTTCCTCAACATGCTGCTACAAGCCAACGACATCCGGGAGTCCAGTGTGGAGGAGGACGTGGAATGGTACCAGGCACTGGTCCGCAGTGTGGCCGAGGGGGACCCAAGGGCATACCGGGCTTTGCTGACCTTTAACCCTCCACCGGGGGCCAGCCACCTGCAGCTGGCCCTGCAGGCCACCCGGATTGGGGAGGAGACCATCCTTCAGGACTTGTCCGGGAACAGGGTGCAGGAGGAGAGCTCAACTGGAGCCCTGCACCCCACTGACCTGCAGAAGCGAGTGCTGACCAATGACCTAGGGAGCCTTGGCAGCCCCAAGTGGCCGCAGGGTGATGGATATGTCGGGGACGTGCAGCACGTGAGACTGTCTCCTCCCTTCCTAGAATGCCAGGAGGGGCGACTGCGTCCCGGCTGGCTTATCACACTCTCAGCCACCTTCTATGGACTCAAGCCAGACCTCAGCCCGGAGGTCAGGTAAGTGGGTTTATGCAGGATTTGATGCTATTGTGGATCTGTGGAGGTGGCAGGGGAGGGGGGGGGGTCCTAGCTATGCATAGGCTATTTGGTATGCACATGTGCGTCTGGGGTATACAGATGTGTGTATTTGCATTCAGCTGTGTATATTTGCAGTTGACTCTAGGAATCTATGTGTTAACATACACAGGTGTGTGTACTGTCGATCCATTTACATATAGGTATACACATGTGTGTGTGTGTACTGATGGGGGGCACAGCTGGGTATAGGTCCTGGTTCCCAGATCTGAGTAATGGGTACAATGCAGGAGAGGGTTTGGCAGGGATAGCAGTGACAATCTGTGTACCGGCTTCTCGGGGGAGTCAGATGAGTGTTCCAGGAGTGAAACCCACTACTCTCTAGCAATCTAGAACTAGGAAAGGAGGCTTCTGCAAGTGAAGGAAAACACCTGGGGGGAGGCTTGGAACCATTGCCCTTTCTGCCCAGAAGTTGGCCGGGTCCCCAGCATCACTCCCATGGCTGTATTCTTTCATCAAGTCCTGCCCCAGGAGCCTGTGATGCTCCTCAAATAACTGACCTCCTCCCTCAACCGGAGTAAAGAGTTGACTGGGAGCCATGATGGGAAGGAGGGAGCAGGTAGATACTGTACCACTAGGCATTCAACAATTAACGTTGTTTTCCCAGCTTTGTGTCCCCATTCATTGTCCCCAGCGGAGTTCCTCTCCTGGCCACAGACAGCCTGGCTCTTTGCCAGCTCTCTCCCCATTGGGCTCAGAGCCAGGGTTGAGAGCCCTCGGGCCAGGCAGCTCTTGAATCTGGGCCCCTCTGTTCCATATCTCCTTCACTGTGATCAATTCAGACCTGGTTTGGGCAGAGTGGGGCATTGTTAATACTGAGTTTTGTGTGCCTGTTTGAGTGTGAGTGTGTATAATATACACTCAGTGGGAAAGTGTGAAAATCCCTTTCAGACAGATCATCAGAGCTGCAGCTCCCATATGTCTTGCCCACTCCCTTTACCCATTGATAGAAATCAGGAAATACTAGGATATTGAAAAGCTAAGGGATGGGGGGTGGGGCAGGGAAAAAACCTAGTGGGAGGAGGATTGTTGAAGCAGAGACAGTGAGGGTTAATAGCACTGAAGAAGTGGCATGCATGTGTGCCCTCTCTCCTGGCATGCTACAGCCACTGTGCTAAAGTTCATAAAGCTTGCATTGCACCATGATCTGAGGTCCAAGGATACATGTCCACCTTGGCACCCTTCACTATACCCCTAACTGCCAATTCACTGCCCTAGGGGGCAGGTGCAGATGGACGTAGACCTTCAGAGTGTGGACATCAACCAGTGTGCCAGTGGCCCGGGCTGGTATTCTAACACACACCTGTGTGACCTCAACAGCACCCAGGTAAGGATACAGAGGGTGGGGTACTGGTATCCTGCCTCCCTTCCCCTTCCCCATCATGCCATCAGGAGCAGCTGTTTGTCAGCTGTCAGGCACATCAGCCTCTCAGGGCTTCAGGGAAGTCCCTATTGATGAGACAGATAGAGAAGAGATACCAAGCTATCTAAAAGTGAGGACACTTACAGCCTAGCCCCATCCCCCATCTGAGACAGCCACCTTCATTCCTTTGCAATCTCAATGTGCCTTCCTGTCCCTTCTGGTGCTTCAGGATCCCTTCCCAGGACCACTTCCTGAGCCTCTATTAATCATCCCCTTTCCTTCTCCTGAACCATATTCTCCATGTCAACAGAGCTCTGGGCTCCTTCTAACCCACAAAGGATGCTCTGTTGGGTGTTTGTTGAAATAAGTGGAATTGGGATGTAGGAGGAAGGTAGGAAGAAGTTGAGATGTAGGAGGAGACTAACCAGAGAAGGAGCTTGAAGAGCTCTGGGACTGGTGAAGATGATGGGACCTGGGCAGGGTGCTGGCAAAATCAAAGCCGTGGATGCAGGAGAATCTGGATAATAGAAAGCAATGGTTGGTAATCCTGCAAACCCACTACTGGGAAACTGGGAGGCCAGTGAACTAATCCGCTCCACAGTAACACTGACTGCATGCTTGTTCCTGAGCTGAACCAAAGCCAAGGCGAGCCCTGCAGCCTGCTGGGAAGTAGAGCGGGTTTGGGCATTTGCTGCTCTTCAGGGCACATGTGTCTGAAGCTATACATCCAGGGATGCATAAAGGCTCCCATTGTCCAGTGCACTTTTAAACCCAGCCACATTCATGTCTCTGGGTATGCATTTGTCTGATGGTGCAGACTATGGCAGGAACAGAGTGTTTTCTAGCAATCTCAGCAGAGGGGAAAGTTGGGCCACAATTTCAGAAGCACCTTTTAGGTGAAGTCAGGGACTGGATATGGAATCTTCCTTCCTTCACCCCACTGCTCTCTGTTCCTGGCCACTCCCTACAGTAGATCTGACCTCCTCCACATGCTTATCTTCCCTGCCTGGCTCTGTGGTCTGCTCTGTCTCCTGCTGGGCAAACATCAGAGGGTGGAGTTGGAATAAAGAGCTGGCCTTGGCATCCCACCAGCCTGGCATTAGCCTGGCATTAGGACTGGGGAGAGCAGTCCTACACCAAAGGCAGATGGCCCTAATAGAGGAAGCTGCTCCCCCACGCAAGCCTTTTCAACCCACCTGTGTGCCAAAGAGGGAGGCTGATGTTGATCCTTTGAAGCAGGATGTAGGCACACAGGTGTGGTTGTCTCAGAGTTCTCTCTGCTTCCACCACCCCAACACCTTGCTCTAGCAACAGCTGGGGATTGGGAAATAGGACGTATGAGGCTTCTGTCACAGCTAGTCTGGATAAAAGGCTGATCCATCTCCAAACTCTGTGTTTGGAGGTCTCTTTGATAAGAGAGAAAATGGTGGGGTCAGGGTAGGGTCTTCAGGGAGGGAAGGCTTCCCCAGGACTGGGACTCCCCAGTGTAGACCCAGGGGCTGTGGATAGGAGGGTAAATGATCTTCCAACTCTTCCCCGGCGGGAAAGCCCCGTATAAATACCTATGGTGTTTGTCGTCCCCACAGTGTGTCCCCCTGGAGAATCAGGGCTTTGTCCTTGGCCACTACCTCTGCCGCTGCCGACCTGGCTTCTATGGGGCAAGCAACTCCTTGGGTATGTAACTATGGTGAGGGCCAGGTAGATGTTTTACAGGCTGGGCTGATTGGAGGTGGGTGTCTGGGGAAGAAAGGCAGGTTGCGGTGAGATACTGGGAGAAAAGCTTGTGGGGCCAGGGCAGAATGTCAAGAAAAGCAGGAGATGCAGGCAGGGTCCAATTTGGGGGTGTCTATGCCTTCTGAGAATGAGCCTAAAACATGGCAATTTGATGCAAGCTGACCTTATAGTGAGTCCTAGCCTGGTATCACCTCTCCTGCCTTCTCCTGCAAGTACTCACTTCCTCATTCCTTCCCCCAGGGGCCACAGACCCTAAGAGGGCAGGATAAGAACTGTGCCAACCATGAGGAGGGAAGGCTGGGGTCTCAGGATGCCCTGGCCACGCCCCTCTTCCTCTACTTATCTTGTTCATTACAGGCTCAGAGGAGGGTGCTGACCAGCCTCCTGGGCAATTTGGGTCCCCTCAAGGCAGCCCTGGGAAGCTGCTGCGCTGCCAGCCATGTGCCGAGGGCTGTGCCAGCTGCCTGGATGCCACGCCGTGCCTGGTGGAGGAAGCCCCCACACTGAGGGCAGCGGTGCTGGCCTGTCAGACGTGCTGCATGCTGGTCGTCTTCCTGAGCATGCTGGTCTCCTATCGCTGCCGCCAGAGCAAGGCAAGCAAGGCCCCACATCTCTCTTCTCTGCACACGTCCTACCCATCGTGAATCTCTAGCATCAGGGGCAGACCAAAGACTACCTGAGGCTAGAACTTGGAAAATATAAGTTTGATCCTTAATCTAACTCACTCTGTGACATCAGGCAAGTGACCTCACCACCGGAGACCTGTTTCCTCACCTGGGCAATGAAGTCATTGGAAGTGATTCAAAACACCTTGTAGGCACTAGCAGAAGTGATCTGGTCCCTTGTGGAGCTCCCAGTTGAGTGGAAGACCCAGACGTGTAAATAGAATGACAGCACAGTAAGACAGGGGCCAGGATGCAGGTGTCAGTTGCTGTGGCAGGTCAGAGAGGGGACCCAGTCATCCCGCCTGAGATGGCGTGGGATGACTTTCTGGAGAACATGCCACTTGAGACAAGCTTGAAGGTCCATTGACAGAGAAGGGAGTTTCTAGGCAAGGAAGCTGTCTGACCCAAAGCTTGGGGGAAAGCCTGAGATCCCTTCCAGTTCCAGCAGCCTCTGATTCTAGCCCAGGTCTGCAGCAAGGCCCAAGGTGAGATTGGGAGGGGTGTGGGGCTGCAGGGGCTATGTGAAACCTTGGCTTCAGCCAGGCTTAGTGCCAGTGGAGCAAAGAGCCTGTGGATGAAGAAGGCAGAGCTGAAGTTATAGGGGGAGGCTTTAGCTCAGGGCCACAGAGTGACCCCTCAAACAGACCTGAGACCCTCCTGCACCATCCTCCAGGTTCTATCCTCTCACTGTCCTGCTTACATGCATCTTTCTTCCCTGGGTTCACAGAGGATCCGGGCATCTGGAGTGGTACTGCTGGAAGCCATCCTTTTCGGATCCCTGCTGCTCTACTTCCCTGTAAGTTTGTGGCTAGAGCCTGACCCCACCTCCTGGGATCCCCCCCAAGTCCCAACCTGGCACCCTCCACACCCCAGAATCTGTCCTCTGTATCCTGTGGGGGGATTCAGAGACCTCAAAATCCCCCTGCTCATACCTACAGGTGACAGGCTGGCCTAGTGAGGCTTAAAAGAGCTCTATGACTTGTTGCGTAACTTAGGACAAGTTATCTAACCTGATAACAAAGCTGCTCCTCTGCAGAATGGAGGTGATGATGTCTCTGAGGAAGCTGTTAGAAGGATCAGCAAGGTGCTTAGCGTAGGTAGGCCTGGCACACAGTGCAAGTGCAATGGAGAGCAATTGTTTTTACCCTCTCCCCACCAGGTCTTCATCCTGTACTTCAAGCCCAGTGTCTTTCGCTGCATTGCCCTCCGCTGGGTCCGGCTGCTGGGCTTTGCCACTGTCTACGGCACCATTATACTCAAGCTTTATAGGTAGGGTCTGGGTTGGGCCTTGTTCTCATGCTGCTCCCTCCAGGCCACCCCAACTCATTTATGGGATGGAGTTTTTCACCGCCAGACCGCTCACCCACTCTACTCTTCTGGGCCCTCAAGGCCTGTTCCCATCACTGTAGCCCTCCCCACCATGTAACTTTTTTTTTTGGGGGGGGGGGTGTAAGACGAGGCAGTGACCCATGGAAGGGATGGGAGAACAGGGATGTGTGGAGGGGAGGGAAGCAATGGCCAGAGGCACCCCCCACCCCGCCCTGCGTCTACCAGCCACACCCTGACTCTTGTAGAGTGCTCCAGCTCTTTCTGTCTCGAACGGCCCAGCGGGGCCCCCATCTGAGCAGCGGGCGGCTGCTGCGGCGTCTGGGGCTGCTCCTGCTGCTGGTGCTGGGCTTCCTGGCTGTATGGACGGCAGGGGTCCTGGAGCCAGGCATTCAGCACACGTCACTGGTAACACGAGGCCACACGCACACGGGACGCCACTTCTACCTCTGCCACCACGACCGCTGGGACTACATCATGGTGGTGGGTGAGTTATTCCCACAGAGTGCAGCCTCACTCCAGTCCCCCGCCCTGTACCTCCAAGGGTTCTTCTGCCAGTACCTGGGCCAGGCTTCCCCCAGAAACCCCTACAGAGAAAGGGGTGGCGTGGCTGCTGAGGTGGTACCTGGCTCTGTCCCTCCTTGTTTCCCTACAGCTGAGATGCTGCTCCTGTGCTGGGGCAGCTTCCTCTGCTACGCCACCCGGGCTGTCCCCTCAGCCTTCCATGAGCCGCGGTACATGGGCATCGCCCTGCACAACGAGCTGCTGCTTTCTGCCGCCTTTCACGCAGCCAGGTGAGGACAGGCCCTCCTACCCACCACGCCTTCCACCCTAACACCATTCCTCACCTCTCCCAGGTGAGGGTACCCCCATCCCACAACCTTACTGGCAACACCTGCAAGGTGAGGAAAGTCCCTCATGTAGAGCTCTCCCCCTACCCTACAGACATTCTTCCTGTTGCCTATGTCTCACCCAACACCCTAAGTGCTCTCCCATTCCACCCCCCACTGCTCTCCTCCCCACACGGGCTCCATTCTCCCTGCCTTCTTCCCCTCACACCTCAGCCGTCCCAGCAGCAGACCTGCTGAGTGTCCACAAGGATCTGGCCCCATGGTGAAGGTAGAACCAATCCATGGGGTGGGTCATAACAGCACTATAAGCAGCCAGAGAAGGCAAGCTGGAGTAGTCTGGGAAGGCTTCTCGGAAGTGGGGATTAACATGAGCCCTGAGGTGGGAGGGCAGGAAGAAGGAAGAGTGCCCTCCTCACTCCACTGAGCACCTGTGGGAGGGCAGGGCTGGGGTTGGGAGGAGAGCCACTGGGACAGGTGAGAGGGAAGAGGCCGCTCCCACCGCAGCTAACCATCACCCCACCGCCACCACCTCCTCACCCCCAGGTTTCTGCTGGTTCCCTCCCTGCACCCGGACTGGACGCTCCTCCTCTTCTTCTTTCACACCCACAGCACAGTCACCGCCACACTGGCTCTGATCTTCATCCCTAAGGTGAGGGCTTCTCCGGCCTCCAAGTGAGGTGACCCCGGCCCTTTTGCCAGGGGCAGTGGGCCTGCTGTGCCCACAGTGCCCTCTTCAGGTCAGGGTGAGAATGACACCTGGGCCCAGAGGGATTTGGAGCCCACTTAGGAGTTGGCTCAGGGCTTCCCTGGTGGCTCCGATGGTAAAGAATCCCCCTGCAATGCAGAAACCCAAGTTTGATCCCTGAGTGGGGAAGATCCCCTGGAGAAGGGAATGGCAACACCCTCCAGTATTCTTGCCTGGAGGATCCCATGGACAGAGGAGCCGAGCAGGCTACAGTCCTTGGGGTTGCAAAAAACCAGACAAGACTGAAGTGACTTAGCATGCATATGGGAGTTGGGGAAGGACGCTCTGTCTCCAATCCCTGGACAAGGGAAATAAGAGCTGGAGCTGAAGGGGGTCCTTGGAACACAACTGGAAGGTTGGCAGACTCTGAAAATCAACTTGGAAGCAGTTACAGAAGATAGGTGAGGGGGGCTGAAGGACATGGCTAGGAATTGTGGGTGCAGGGCATTAGAGACCCCCTGGTCTCTAAGTTAGAGAAAATCAGGAAGGATGAGATGGAACAATACTCTTTGGACCTCCAGAATCCCAAATCAGAGAAGGGGTGGAGGATTTGTGGAGTAACTATGTATGCCACAGGATAGGGAGCCAACATGAGTCTTCTTCCTGGTCATGCCTGCCCTGGCCAGTTCCGGAAGCCGGGGGCTCCTCCCCGAGAGGAGATCTTGGATGAGGTGTATGAGGATGAGCTGGACCTGCAGCGCTCAGGCTCCTACCTCAACAGCAGCATTGCCTCAGCCTGGAGCGAGCGCAGCCTGGACCCTGGAGACATTCGGGTAGGTGCTGCCCTCCTGACCTCCTCCCGATGCTACTTAGGGACTGGGCAGCGAGCAGTGATGCCCTGCCACTCGCGCTGCGTGCCACTGCAGGCCCCCTGTCCTCTCCCTAGCTCTTCCTCTAAGACTCGCCTCCCTTTCTTCTCCACCATTGCCCCAAGCTGCTTCTCCTGCTTCTACACAAAGGAGACCACACACGTGAAAAGATCCCCCCAAATACCAAAACTCACATTCCTGAGGCCCAGTTGGCAAGGTAGAGGCAGAACCATGAGTGGAGCTCAAATCGCCTGTGTCCTCCACTCAACAGGGCCACCATGAGTGGCAGACTAAGAAGCCCCACAGCCCCCAGCACACCCAGCAGTTAGTGCTCCTAGGGCCATTAGGGTTGGGTAATTCAGCCAGTGAGTGGCTACCAAGGATTTCCATACCAGGATCCTCTCCCTGGACTCAGCAGTGTTAGAGAAAGGAAGTGCTTCCTGAGTCTTACATCAGCAGAGCATCCTCACCTTATTTTTCTGCTTAAGAATATCATAATGGTGATAGGAACCCTGATGAGAGGCCCAGAGAGTAGGAAATAGAGACTGGCAGTAAAGCCCATTGTTTTATAGAATCTACAGTGGGAACAGTCCCAGGAAGCCATTGGGTCCATCCCTCCACCTTCCCTGAAGCCCCCTCCACATCTGACATGTTTACATCCCCCAATTCCTTCCTTGTCTCAACTGCCCCGGTGTCCTCCTCACCCTAGGCCTAAGTGGAGGCAGGTGACCACTGCCACGCCATCCTTGACTCTCCAGCTTGGGGATCAGCAGTGGGTGTGCTCTCCCTATGTTCGCTGTGGGGAGAGCCCCAAAGCAGAAACAGCAAAGCCCCATCCTGTCACTTACACCCGAATATGGCCGTTTTCACACCCACTGGTTGCACCACTTCTCTTAAGGCAGTGAACACTAGGCAGTCAGACTTCCTTCCTTTATTGAAATAGAGACTCAGAGAGGGCAAGAAAAGAGCCTTGAGGCATACCATAGGTCAGCAGCCTCAAACCCAGGTTTCCTGTGCGCAGAGCTGGGACCGCCCACCGGACCACAGTGCCGGGTAGAAGGCAGGGCCCTGCGTCCTCAGTGGGTCGAGCTCAGAACTAGGTTGGTGTTGGCCCTGCAGAAACAGGTGAATTTTCTAAGTGTTTTAAAAGCCAGGAAAGGACACGGCTTGGTGGGAAAGCGTTCCCCCAGAGAAAAGGGTCTCAGCACCAGCTGAGGGGCAGAGCAGCCCCGCCAGGGGATGGAGAGGATGGTCCTCACGCCGGCTCTGCTCTCCGGCCCCCAGGACGAGCTGAAGAAGCTCTACGCCCAGCTCGAGGTTCACAAGACCAAGGAAATGGCCGCGAACAACCCCCACCTGCCTAAGAAGCGGGCCAGCTGGCGCCAGGGCCTGGGCCGCTCTTTCATGAGGTACCTGGCCGAGTTCCCCGAGGCGCTGGCCCGCCAGCACTCCCGGGACTCGGGCTCCGCAGGCCGCGGCAGCCTGCCCGGCTCCTCCCGCCGCCGGCTGCTCAGCGCCAGCCTCCGGGAGCCCGCCGCGTCTCCCGGCCTGCGAAAGTCCCGCAGCACCTACGAGCAAGACTGTGACCCCCACCGGGACCACAGCCCGCCTCTGGTCGACTCGCTGCTGCGGAGGAAGCTGGCCCGCAAGGGGCCGCGATCCGACAGCCGCGAGTCCCGCGAGTCGGCGGCCGGGCCCCCAGCGCTGGGCTTCAGGTCGGCCAGCGCCCACAACCTGACGGTGGGCGAGCGGTTGCCCCGCGCCCGGCCCGCCTCGCTGCACAAGTCGCTGAGCGTCGTGGCCGGCGCCAGGGAAAAGGCTCTGCTCGTGGCCAGCCAGGCCTACCTGGAGGAGACCTACCGGCAGGCAAAGGAGCGGGAGGAGAGAAGGAAGGCAGAGGCCGCCCTGGCCAGCCCGGCGCGGAGGCCCTCGGCCCGGAGGCTGGAGCGAGTCCGAGCGGCCCCCGTGTCGGCCCCACCTTCCCCGGCCAAGAGCCGCAGCGTGGACAGCGCCCACGTCTCCGGGAGGCTGCAGGAGGAGGCCGCCAGAAGGCTGCCGCACCCGCCCATCCGGCACCAGATCTCCACACCCATCATGGCCACGTCCGGGGTGGGCCTGGGGGAGCCGGGGATGCTGTCTCCCACCTCCACTTTGGCCCCAGCTCTGATGCCGGCTCCTGCCCCTGCCCTGGCACCCATCCCAATACCCCCACAAAGTCCCAAGCTACTTACCTACATCTGCCCCTGGGAGAATGCAGAACTGCCGGTGAAGAAAGAAAATGTGTCTCAGGAAGGCCCCTCGGGGCCAGAGCAAGGCAACCTGTCTCATGTTCCAGCTCCGGCCCGTCTCTGGAGGGCCCTCTCTGTGGCGGTAGACAAGAGGGGGCCTGGGGAGAATGGGATGGACACAGAGGACGGGCGTCTCCAAGGGGAAACTGAGGAGGATGAGGACAGGCCGAAGGTCTTCTCTAAATCCCACAGCCTCAAGACCCCTGTCCAGCAGGGTTCCATGCGCAGCCTGGGCCTGGCTATCAAAGCTCTGACCCGTTCTCGGAGCACATACAGAGAGAAGGAGAGCGGGGAAGGGAGTCCTAAGAAGGAGGAGAAGGGCCGAACGTCTGGAGAGGGTGTGGGGGCATGCCCCAGATCTCCCAGGCCAGGCCGGCCCAAGGGGGTGAGTAAGCAGGCGGCACTTGCCCCCTGTGATGACGAAGAGTCCCTTCAGAACCAACAGAACGCTCACACCAGCAGGATGCTCCAAGTCTGTCACCAGGAAGGCAGCAGGGAACAAGAAGACAGAGGCAGGAGGACTTCCCAGTGTCTAGGGGAGGGGAAGGTTGAGAGAGCAGGTAAAACAGGCCCTGCCACACTGAGGCAACTCAGGCAGGGCACAGCTGGGGACAAAAATGCTAAGCAAGCAAAAGAAGCTCCAGTGGGGTGGCGGGAACTACCCAAAGCTGGCCTCCAGCCCCTGGGAAGTGCTGACCACAGGGTGACAGAAGTATGCCCTTGGGAAATCACCGAGTCAGAACTGTGTCAGCCTGATGGCAGCAACAAAGCTGAAATCTGCCCCTGGGAGGTGGGTGGAGTCCCTGAGAAGGAGGCCCTAAGGCAATATCTAGATGCCTCCCAAGGTGAGAAGGGGAAAGCCTCAGAAAAATCAGAGCCCAAAGATGTGGTTGCTGTGGCTCGGAAAAAGCCAGAGAGGTTGGTCAGGGGTCAGGAGGCAGTTTGTCCTTGGGAGAGTGCCGATCCTGGGGGTCTGTCTCCTGGGTCAGCCCCTCAGGACTCGGACAGAACCAGAGGCAGGTCTGAGGCAGTGGGCAGTGTGGAGCCTAGAGAGGTGGAGACGCATCGGTGGGAAGCCACTGGCCCAGGACCTTGTACATCTGATATCACCACGGCAGAGCGGTGTCCCTGGGAGGCAAGTGAAGGAGGAGAGACAGGGAAACCATCCCAGGAGGGAATAAAGAAACTCCCCCAGGAAAAGCAGAAAACTCCCAAGAAAACAACCTTCTGGAAAGAACAGAAAGTGGGTGAAGGCTTGGAGTCTCTTTGTCAGTGGGAAAGGACAGATTTCCGGGGCCCCTCAGCGGTCTCCACTCAGGCCCCAGGAACCCCTGGTTGCTCGGGGAGTTTGGGCAGTAGCATCACTGAAGTCTGTCCATGGGAGGCGGGAGATACTCCTGCTATCGGCAAGGCAGAGATCTGTCCCTGGGAGCTGGATGATGAGGTAGTGGGGAAGGAAATGCTGAGTCAGGGGCCAGGTGGAAAATCTCCCCAGGAAAAGTGGGAAACCTCCAGAACAGGGAGCTTTGGAGAGATGGGGGGATGGACTGGGAAAGCAGTGCAGAAACTTAGCCAACAGCAGGAGTCAGTGTGTCCATGGGAAAGCACAGCTGCTGGGCACTCTGGCCCACATCTAGACAATTCCTCATCCAAAGCTGATGGCCAACTCCTCAGCAATGAAGGAAGTAGAGCAGCTCAGGTCTGCCCACCAGATCGCAGGTCAGAGGGAGAGGAAGCAACAGCTGCCAAGGCAGAAGTCTGTCCCTGGGAGGTGAATGAGAGAACGACAGAGGACTGGACATCAGGACAGGCACCAGAAGGAAGAGAATCTCAAAAGGACAAGGAGAAGATGCTTGCAACATCAGGCATCAAAGCTAGCCCAAGCTGGGCAAAGCCTGAGGGACAGATGCCAACACAGGAAGCAGTCTGTCCCTGGGAGAGTGTGGACCCTGGCAGCTTCACCCCACAACCTGGTCTTCAAGACACAGGTGGACCCAAAGCCAGTTTCCAGATGTCCGGCAGTGTGGAAAGCAAAACTGCTGAGATTTGTCCTTGGGACGCGGAGGAAACACTGCCTGCTGAGAAGGCAGAGGTCTGTCCCTGGGAGGTGAGTGCTAGAGCTGGGGAGAGAAGGACTTTGGGCATGGAGGCCATTGGGCAGTTTTCAAGCAAAACAAGAAAGCCTTCTGCAGATTCTGGACCTGGCGAGAGAGCTGTTGCTACTCCAGAGAGGCAGGCCCAGGAGCGCGAACAGGCTTGCCCCTGGGAGAGCATGGATCCAGGGGGCTCCTCTTGGCATTCAGACACTCTGGGCACTGACAGCCCAAAACCTGAGCTCCAGGAGCTGGACCGTGTCGGGTACAGACCGGTGGAGGTATGTCCCTGGGAAGCGGAGGGAGCACCTACTAGTGAAAAAGTGAAGGTCTGTCCCTGGGAGGTGGATGAAGGAGCCCCTGGGAAGGAATTAGAACAAGAGATGAGAACTGATTCAGTGGGGCAGAGAGAGAAAATGCTAGAAAAGGGGAGACTCACCTCCCTGGGAGAAGACAGATCGAAATGGGAAACACAACTGAGTCAAGAGCAGGAAGCTGTGTGTCCCTGGGAGAAGGACTTGAGGGCACCCTCTGCTCAGGCCCCTGAGGTCTCAGACGTGTCCAGCAGAGGGGTAGAGGGGCCCTCCCTGGAAATGAGCGATGAGGCAGCAGAGAAAGGGGGCCTGACACAAGACCCACAGATGAACTCCTCCCCAGAACCTGTAGCCCCAGGAAAAGCAGAAGTCACTGCTGAAGATGGGGAAAAAACGAGCAGTGAACTACAACCTATCCATCTACAGGAGAGCATGGCCCCTATGGACTCTTTCTCCCATCCACACAATCAGTACCCTGACCAACCTAAAGCCGGCTCTCAGACACTGCCCAGCGCCGGGGACAGGCTCGCTGAGGTCTGCCTGTGGGATGCTCCCGCCATGGACATTCCCAAACCTGATAGCGGCACCAAAGCTGAGACCTGTCCCTGGGAAGTGACTGAAAGAACCCCTGAGGAAGGGGTGTCAAGACAGGATGGAGATGAGGAAACTCAAGAGGAGAAGGGGAAAGCCCCAGAAAAACCAGAGCACAAAGCTGTGGCCCTTCAGGAAAAGCCTGAGAGGGCAGATGGAAAGCAGGAGGCTGTGCGTCCCCGGGAGAGTCAAGATTGTCTGTCTCCACAACCAGGCCCACAACCTTCTGACAGTAGCAAAGAAAGTCCCGAGCGAGCAGGCAGTGTGGGAGCCAGGGTAGCGGAAGTGTGTCCACAGCAAGCACAAGAAGCTCCCCCTGATAAGAAAACAGAAATCTGCCCTTGGGAGGTGAGCCAAGAAACAGCAGAGAATGGGGGATGTGAACCAGAGGTAGACAGAGAATCTCAAGGGCAAGGAGAAATGTTCCTGCAAAAGGCAGAATCTGGAGGGACTGAAGAACACTCTTCAGAAGAAGTAAAAGTCAGCAGAGAGACGGAGATGATCCGCCCTTGGGAAGGCACAAGGTCAGAAGGACTCTCTCCCCAGCCAGATGCTCCAGCCATGGACCAACCCAAAGTCATTCCCCATGGAGCAAGCAGGATGGGAAGCCAGGTGGCAGAGCTGTGTCAATGGGAAGTCACAGATCCCGAAGGAAATAAAGTAACGGGCACCATGGCAGACATTGACTCATGTCTTTGGGAGGGAACTGGAGCCCCATCTGAGGAATCTGGTCTTCTGGCTTTAACAGCAACTCAGAAGCAAATGCTCTGCCCCACAGTCCCCGAGAACCCACCATGCCTTTTAGTCCAGAGACCTTTGGGTAGCTTCCTTCCAGACAGCAAAAGCCCCCGCCCCAAAGCGAACAAGCCAGCCAGTACCTTTACTCTGGAGGGTGTCAGAGAACTCCAAGTCCCTTCAGAACTTGAGCCGAGGACCAGCTTAGCCCCAGAGCCAACCCTCCAAGAAGCTGAGACTCAAAAGTCTTCCTCCTTAACTGAAGACCAGGAAATAGCTTCTGAAGCTCAACTTGAAGAACTCATCCCTCCAACTGTCTATCCTTGGGACTGGGAGTAACAACTCCATCGGTGAGGTCATACACTGGGTGGCTAGCTTTCAGAACAGTCAAGGTTCTTTCCAAGTTCTAGGTGTTTCCAAAAACCTGAATCAAACAAACTTGGCCACTTTCCCTCTCCAAGAAGGCCAGAAGTCAACTCATTCCAAGACAAAACTGTACAAAAAGGGTGCAGCTCAGACTCCAAAAGGAAGTACCATCCTCTCTTTACTTCCTCTCTTTTCTTCCTGCTCCAGAGCACAAGGGCCAGACCTTCGCTTCTAATTAATGCTCCCATTCAGCTACAGTACTCAACAGAAGCCATCTATGACATCACTTGTAGAGCTAATGTTAATGACAAAAGGGAGTCAGCTGTACCCGGCCCACACTTTCTCAAAGGTAGACCCAATCTTCTCTGAAATCTCCCAAGGATATTTTTTAAGAAAGTAAACCACTCAAGGCATTGGCAACATAGGGGCTGAAGATTATAAAAGGTCACCACAGGAAGTTTAGAAGCTACTTAATTCAAGTTCAAAAGCAAATCAGGAGGAAAACTTAAATGGTTCAAAAGAGGTCCCTGTAATGCCTTAAAGATCTTGTCATTTTGACTTTGGATCTCCAGTTTCTGCTTTATTGATCCTCTTACCTGCCCTGCTTGATTGAAGTAGAGCCAATCAAGCGAATTTACATCCATATCAACATCTAGCATCCAAAGCAACAAAGAAACAGAGAGCATAAAGGGAAAGGCAACAGCTCCAGATCCTGCCCACGCAGTCCGAGGGACAGTTGTCCCTTCCAGACACTGTCTCACAGTTGAAGAAGCAAGCCTCTTGCTAGCCTTCTCAGATGGCCTTCCCTTCTTCCTGCCCCATCTTTGGACAGTCTGCAGAGTTCACCCCACTGCCTCATTCTCCTAGCCTTTCAGTACTGTCATTAAAGGGACTCCTCTGTGTTGTCAAACGCAACAGGAGCCTGGGGAATTTTTGGTTCCGAGGCAAGAACCACTTCAGCTCACTTGCTCAGTAACAAGAGGCCCACATCAGTCTCTTTCCCAAGAAGCTCGAGAAAGAAAGGAGGTCCTGTTTACAGCCAGCATTGTAATTGCCCTCAGAAAGAGTAGTGGTTGGGGCAGGTTAGAGCCCAACGGCCAGGGAAAGGGCATCCTTAAGTACAAAGCCTCCTTTCTTAGGGAGCTCTTTCTTGTTCTATTCCTTCAAGCCAATTCAGGCTACTTTTACTTAAGCGGTCCTAGATAACAGAGTGCTGGAAATGGGTGATACTACCAAAGGGAAATGAGAAAGGAGAAAAACACTGGTCACAGACATCCCAGGTCTGGCAGAGGTGAGGGGGTGGAAACAGGCAGACTAAACACGGCAGAGCTGGGCAGGGACCCACCTTCTAACTGGACAGATACTGATGCCATTCACAAGGAGGAAAAAAAGACAAAAGGAAACCAAATACCCAATGGGAAAAAAAAGTTTGCATGTAAATATTCTGGGCAGCTACAGGGCTTCACAGAAAGTAGCAAAAGTGCTCCATTTCCAAAAAGGAAGAGAAAGCATGGAATAACCCACTTTTAGAGACCAGACATCCTTGTTCCCTGTCTAAGCTCTCCCTCTTACCTAGGTGCCCTCCCCCAGGCTTCCAGAGCAGTAACTAAAGTGTGGTCTTGCTCCAGGCTGCATTCTCAGCCTCACAGCTTGTGTGTGTGTACTCAGTTACATCCGACTCTTCGTGACCCCGTGAACTGTAGCCCACCAGGTCCTCTGTCCATGGTATTTTCCAGGCAAGAATACTGGAGTGGGTCCATTTCCTACTCGAGAATCTTCCCAACCCAGGGATCGAACCCGCATCTCTGTGTCTTCTGCATTGGCAAGGAGAATTCTTTTCCCCTAAGCCACCTGAGAAGCCCTCATAGCTTCTCAACCAATGCAAATGCTGCACCTCTGAGAATCCCACTGAGAATGGACTAGCTGGAACAGAAAAGTTGTCCCTGTAATCACAGCTATGAAATAAGCCATGGAGAAAAAATAAAGAATGCTTTCTTGACCATTGTAGTTGCTTCAAACTTGTTATGGTAAATTTATTTTTTCAACATTTCTAAACAGTAATAGTAGACAGGTAAGGAAAAGACAGTGCCTGCTCTAAAGTCCAAGGTAGCCACACTGCAGCCTTAGAGACTATGGGGTGGTCTGGCTAATTCTCAGCCAGTGCCCAGCTACATGGCTGGCATTGCAGATGGTCTCTGCCCGGCCCTTCGAGCCAATCCTGTACATCTGGGCCATCCGCTCAGCTGGATTTGACCCCAAAGGGAAATGAAAACTGCACTTATCCTCTGGCTCCCTGGTGGCAGCTATTGCTTAGCTGCTATTTAGGATTATCTACAGACCCCTGAGACAGATCTAGGGAAGTGGGGTGAAATAGCTTATTTGAAAATTTTATATATATATATTTTTTTTCATAGAAATCAAAATGCTGTTTGGTCATTAAGTGTGCTTTCTCTGCTCCCTGTCCCACCCAGGACTGCCTCCCCCTTACTCCACACCCACCCAGCTGTGGATCCTACTGAAAGCACTTTCCTTCTCATTTTGCCTTAATCTGGGGCTCAGGCAAATAGGATACAACCAAACCTCACTTGGGCAGCAATGCTGGAGACTGATGTACATTTTTAAGCCCAAAGGGTTGAGACTAAGTAGCATGATGAGAGTGGCTGCTTTGGATTAACCCGCTAGTGCTGCCTCTCCCCTAAGCATACACATCTCGTTTCTGTGTTGGCAGCTGTTGTTAAAACCTTAGTTCTCCCCAGTGAGGCCTGGTCTGTTTGCTGCTTTGTTGAGATGGTCGCTTTACAGAGAGGAGTCAGGTTATTTTCAACCTGATTGGTTTCTTTGGACTCTACTCTCAAGGTAAAGTCAGAACAGATTAATCCTTAGCCAAGTGATAAACTCCTTAAAAGAAAATTCTAGACTTAAAACATAGAAATATGAGAATTAAGGTTCTAATTTTTAAGGGGAGACCTCATGGGCTATCAGTGTAATAGTGCTACAAGCCAAGCTTGCTGCTGGGACAGTGACTTCCCTGTCACACCTCAGATGACCCAGGACATGAGCATGTGAAGTCCTACATCCTCCTCCAGCTGGAGCTAAGGCACAAGTAGGAGCTGGGCTGTTTCACACTCCACAGGTTCATATCCTGGAATCTTTGCCTCCAAATTTGGGCTGGAAAAACAGTCACCATCTCCAAAAGGTGCTAGAAACCAGGGAACCAAGTCTTACTGATGAATTTCCCAAATGTATCCACACTTCCATGGCCCCTGCCTCCACCAACGCCTCCTGGGATTACACCAGTTGATAATTAAAAACAAAATCTAAAAGCTGAGGGCTAAATGATTTCTTTGGATTTACATTCATTTGTGAAATACAGATACTGATTTAGTGAATCAGTGTATGAGAAGAGACCCCCTTAAATGACATCACTTTTATAAATACTAATTATTTTTCTCAAGTCTGGGTTTCCTATAAGTCACATCAGTCACAGTTAACTTCCACTTCTACCATCTGAAGGCTTGTCCACTTCCAGCCTGAACCAGGAGAAATGTAGAGAACCCACCACAATTTGTCTAATACTTGATAGTGTTTTATTTCCAACTCTGATCCCTGCCCTGTAATTAGAAAGTCCTGCCAGTTTTTGCTATGGGAAAGCTGGTATCATGTTCTTTGAAACATACCGCCTTTCATCTAGAGTTAGAAACAAGATATAAGATGGAAAAAAAGAAGTGAAGCCACTGCTGTGCATAGACCCAACCCACCAGGGCCCAACCAGCAGCAGCTGTTATTGAGGCTAAGACTGCTTAAAAGACCCACGCAGGGCAAGAGCGAACAAAGGCAGTTCTTCCCACAGTGAGAAGAAGACAGGTGACGTCACAGCTTCCAGCTGCCTCATCATCCATGCTTCACCCCAGGAATCATTCTTGCCGTCACGCTAGCTGAGGCTTATGGGCCTCTCTTTGCAGCTCTTCATACTCTTCCCCAGGTTTCAGCTGGGGGCCAGGGATCATCACCGTCTGAAACAGCAGGAAGCTGTGTTATCTACTGTCCGAGTCCAGGGTTTACCCAAGAGATCCATGCCTGCCTCCAGGCCCATCCCCAAAGGATTCCTCTTCCTGGGGCTGCATCACCTTCCCTCTCCACTAGGAGGTGCCCAACAGGAGTGGCTGAGGATGCCATGTCTTAAACCAGGTGGCCCTAGGGGTAAAGAACCCATCTGCCAATACAAGAGACGTAAGATGCGGGGGGTTCAATTCCTGGGTGGGGAAAATCCCCTGGAGGAGGACATGGCAACCCACTCCAGTATTCTTCCCAGGATAATCCCATGGACAGAGGATCCTGGTGGGCTACAATACATGGGGTTGCAAAGAGGTGGACATAAGACTCAAGCAACTTAGCACACCTTAAACCATGCAAGCTGCTTTACCTTAAGGATGGGCTGCTTAGGGGGTGCCCATGGGGGAATGATCTTGCCATGCATTCTCCAGCTGCCATAGGGATTTGCCAGATGCTTTTCAAAGACAACATACTCCAGGACATCCCTGGGCACATCTTCCTGTCCATACATCAACCGGCCAAACCGGTCATAGATGGCCAGAGTCTGCAAAGATGAAAGCACATCAAGTTGGTTAGTCCTCAGAGTTGTTTAATTCTGAATCCAGACTAACCGATCAACCACTGACACTTTACTCTTAGAGGGTTTTTGACTGAGGGGGGAGAGCGGTCAGGGTGGAGGGAGTGGAAGGATTCCAGAAAGGGGAGGAAATAATATCCCCACACCTGTGTTCACAGCTAACATACAGCAGTGGGAAGGGTAGAGTGACAAGGCAAGAAAGACCATGGTGAGCCTTTCCTTAGAACTCACAGTCCTGGGTAGCTATACCCAGGACTCAGAGGTAGGTGCTCAACCTGAGAGTGAAGAAAAGCTGGGAGGAAAGCAGACTGGTGCCTCTACCTGCCGGGTGTGCATGCGGACGGTGACCTGGCCATACGCGTTGCTTTGGGTCACCAGACTCGAACAGCGAACCTGCACCACCTGGGGTGGCTCTAAAGATTCTACGAAGCTCCAGCGGACAGTCTTGTATTTGATGTCCCAGACCATGTCCTGAGGGCAGAGAAGAGTTCAACTGGATTCCGGCCTGCACACCCCGCCCCCTTAGGGAAGTGGGTGCTTATTTCCATGCTTCCTCTTCTTGCAATGCCACAGTCAACATGCAACGTTTCCCAGCAAATGTGCACTGGTGCTTATTTTCTGCCTCACTTTTCTAAACTTTGCTTAAGCTACTGCTCAAGCTCACCTTACAACAACTTGCTTTTCGTTTCTAAATCATGACTCAAGAGCCAATTACCATCTGGAGGACCCTTCTCCAAATCAATGAAGACCTCATTCCAAACTGCCAGCTTACCTAATATGTTATCCCTCCCACACACTTTCATAATCTGCTCATTATTGCATGCATTTCTGTTGGCCGCATGTTTTTTTTCTTCTTACCTTTCGGCAGTTTTTATAGGAATTTGATAGACTTTTATAAAGGTTAATAACCTGCTTAGACTAGGATAGCTATACTTGTGCCTGGGGGGATGAGGCAGAACTGAGAGCAACTGAAATTCTTACTCTTGAACTTCTAACTAAACCACAAAGTCCTCAATT